GCATGGGGGCTACAGCAGGCGTGGAGACTCCTATGAGTCTTTGTCTCAAAGACGCCGGACGTGGATGAGTTTTAGAACTCTCGGGTTGGGATTAGGCCAGGCGCAAGCTGGCTGCGCCGGGCGTGAGTATGTTTAATGCTGTTAATTTGGGAATGATGCTTATGCATGTTTAAAGTTGAAGACTTGATCATGTATGTATGATATATGATGTATGGTGATGTATTATTCATATGTATGCTTGGTAATAATATGTATGAATGTTTAAATATGATATGACATGAGTATATGTTCATATGAGTATGATTATTGATCATGATGGTGGTTTGGTCATGTATGATGTATGATGCATTATTGCATGTGATGTCTTATGGCATGTGTCTAGCCTAGGACTTAAGGAGAGGGAAAATGTTTTCGAATTGGAAGAGCTCACATAGAGTCTCTTAAGAGTGGTGCTTGGATAGGCCACTAATATAAATGAGAGTGGTGCTTAGATAAGCCACTGGTTTTGGGCTGAGAGTGGTGCTTGGATAGGCCACTAGTTTGGGTGAGTCTCCTCTAAGTCCTTAGCTAGTGTTGGAGCGGAGTATGAGGTCGAGGGTTATTCCCTTAACCAAGTATTGGGGAAGGTGCATGGTTCCTTGCAGATAATCGGTGGGTAAACTCAACAAGTGACTTGGTAATGCATGCCAAGGTCGTGGTAAGCCTGTACCCAGTTGTGCTATACCTGACGGTGGAACCGGACTTCCAAGTGTGCAAGGGGCATCATCCGAGTAAACCTGAGTGAGGATTTATATCCTGTTTAGCTGTGACCAAGCAGACGCATTGGGCGTGAAAACGGTTGGGGTGATTTTGGTAGGATTGGGATGTCACTTACACTGCTCTGCTGTTATGGAGATCTCTTAGATATACGCGTGATGACGCGTTAGATGATTGATATGCATTGATATCTGTCATGAGTTGTTATTGTTGCATGATCTCTAGTACGATGAAGTGTGTGGTGTTGACTTCATGTTTGATGAATTGATGATTGATTGAGATGGGAGTTCCTTTGGGACTTGATTATATGAATGTATAATATAGATTTTTATTCTATACTTGTATGGTTGTTTATTGAACTCTACCTTACCCTTCTATTTCCATGTGGTTGGACTGCAATGATCATACTGTGTATGGGAGCAAATCAGGGCTAGCTTGGAGATGTGGTGTCCGTTGCGAGATGAGGAGTTTTGTCCTAGTATCAAAGTTACCTTATTGGGTAGCTGTTGTTTGTACTTGACCGGTACTAAGGTGATGTTATCTAGTTTAATATCTTTTCTTAGTTCACTAGCATATTAGTGTGATTTCACTAAGTATAGAACCATGGCGAGTCGTTATATTTGTAGAGTTACCACAAATTATTATCATATATAATCGTACATGTCTAACGGATTTTAATCTAGTTAAAAAAAAATTGGTCTCTTTGATCATAATAATTTGAGTATAATAGAAAATTTTAATCAATGAAATTTAAAACCTAATACAAATTAATGATGATATTGAGTGATAATTTAATACAGTTGTTTGAATGCAAGAATATAAAAAAAAAATTATGTCAAATTAAATATCATGGATTATAAACTAATCTCTAATTGTAAGGACTAAATTATAAAAATATGAAATACTAAATTATATTTTTTTTATAATTTAAGACCTAATTAAAAATTCTTAAAAGAATTCATAAATCAAATCATATATTAAGCCTCAATTAAATTATATATATTTTTATATTATAAATATTTACATTTTAAATATTATTATTTATATATAAAGATCCAAATTTATTGTTTTACTTAAGGTCTATGAAATGTCACAATCGGCTCTGTTTCTTCCTCGCTCAAAATTCTTTATTGTTACCATTCGTGAACATGAGTCTCCAATTTATGGTCAGTGATTTCTCAAGAGCCTCTTTAAACTTCTCTTCTCTATGCTTTTCTTCGATTGATTTGTGACTATTTAAGATGAGTTTTTGACTCGTATCCATTTTGATTCCCTATTTTTACTTTTTATAATATTTCATTAAGATTTTTCATTGCTATGTTCTTCAGATGATGTTTTGGTGGAGCAGATTTTTCAAAGATTAGAAGTGTTGGTGAATTTGAGGTAAGTGAATATGAAATATTCATTATTTGCTTTTTGATGTTATGATTTTTTTGGATTTTAAATTGGCTTATTTGATATTTGTTCATCATCATTAATCTGCTGATTTTTAGAAAATTATTAATATATTTTATACTTCTAAATCTTGTTTTTGGTTACAACACTTAGTCAAGAATTAATTTTATTTTAAGATTTTTTTATTTAAATATTACACATTTTTAATGTTTTTCATTGTTGAGATGTGACACGGGAAGAATATAATTTGAAAGCTACAAATCTAAAAGGGAAACTATCACTCTAAGCTACATAGACACTTTGAGTGGGACAACCCAACAACTCGCTTTGAGTGACAAGACAACTTGCTTAGAGTTAGCTTGCTTAAAGCGACAAGACAGTTCGCTTATAGCGACAAGAGAACTCGCTTAGAGCAAGTGAAATTTGCTTAGTGCAAGCCATATTTAACTTAAAAGTCTATTAGAAAATATTATAAAAATAGAGTCTCTAAGAGGTCTTTATCAATCAATACTTTTTCGAACACAATTTTAGAGATATTAAAGAGATTTCTTGTGAGAGCGTTCTTGTAGTCATAGGTCGATCAAATATCCCTCTTCTCGTGTAATCCTTAGTTATGAGTAACTAAATTGTCTATTGTTAACGATTGGTATAATTGTTGTACTCATGTAATCTTTCTTGTTCTCATTCAATACATTCTTTTTATTCAATTAATCATTTTACTTTATACTTAATGTTTGCTTTGACTAATGCATGATTTTATAATTTTAATTGTGGTTGAAAAATCCTTTTAGAATTACGATCTAGATAAAAAATTGATAACACTTATTTCCTAAGAATTGAGGTAAGTCTTATCAGTCAATCTTTAGGTCCCTGACCTTAACACGTGTTGCTTAACAAAATTTATCAAGGATGTGAGGTTTTTCTTAAATAAACTAGAGTTTCTCGCTTAAAAAATTAAGGTTTAAATATATTTGAGGGCTATTGAACTAATTGTATATTTTCTAATATTAAATGATAATTAGAGGGGATTTACATGGGAAAGGTTGGTGAAATCAATCTCTGCCTATTTTTTTATTATCTAAAATTAAATTCATTTTTTTGTTACATGCTTTTCATGTTTATCATTCTATAAATTTTTATACTTCACGTTAAACATTTTTAAATTCCTTTAATTCATCTAGTACTACATATAATTAAACAATTATAATTCAAGTTCCTATAGATTTTATAATTTGAATTTCTACTAAATTTACTACCTACGACAATTGATATATTTTCTAGATGCGTATCAATATTACAATTTAGTAACTTATAGTTTTATAACCTCGCGGTTCAGGGAAATAAAAAACCAAATAGAAATGCTAGGTAGCGGTTTGACATATATATTTATACTAAAAGATAAAGTGTGTGTGTGCAGATTATGAAAATTAAAAAAAAATCAAATAGAACCAAAAAAGCCAAATAGAACCACTAGTTGGTTTGGCATATATACTTATACTAAAAGATTAAAAAAAAAATGTGTGTGTAAGTGTATGTGATATTTATACTAAAAGATAAAGTAAGTGTGTACTAAAAGATATGTGTGAGATAGTGTGTGTGTGAGGGTATGTGATATTTATACTAAAAGATAAAGTGTGTGGATGATCATACATAGTTCAGAAACTCTAATGACTCATTGATCCCATGAAGTTGGAGTGTACTTCAAAAGTTGTGTAACCTAAACTAGTTACTAGAGGACATAATTCTAATGTGGCGTGATGAAAATATAAGACATTGGTACATGACACTTATTCATTGCTAGGCATCCACTGATAAACTATTTTTTGAGTTAAAATTGATACCATATGCATATGAAGTAGAGTTGAAGGAAAATGACATTACACATACATATTGTATTTATGTAATTGTTTAAGATGATCATACTTAACAGGATATCATTTTTACCTGTGTTAGTTTGTGTTAGAGATTTTTCGTAAACATCTAGTGTTTATGATAACTTGTGAATGTTGGTATATTTAATTTAGTTTAAAAATGCTCAGGTTGTGAAATTTATTATTGACTGATTATAATTTACTTTAGGTACATTTATATTAATTTATCATAACTTATGAACTCTATTATTGGTTTCAATTACGAGGTTTTTTTTTTTATCACACTGTCTGATCATTGCTTAGTTCTGTTGAAGATTGAAGTGCATGGCTGTGGACTAAACTCTTTTAAGATGTTTAGTGGTTGGAGGATTGTTGAGTGGTATGCGAAATTCATTGAAGAGAGGTGAAAAGAGATGGAGTTTCAAGGGTGGAGAGGGTATGTATTAAACGAGAAGTTGAAATGCACAATAATGATATTGCAATACTCGTACAAGGAGAATGTAGTTATTAGAATTCTAACTGAGAGAAAGAGCCTAAATGAAACTCATATTTCGATATTGATTTAGAATACCAGGAACCAGGTATAGTACAGTTGTAACAGAATACTTACAGAAAAGAAAGAAAGATATAGTACAGTTGGACTGTGTAAGAGCCTGAGCCTAAGAACATCCCCTTTGTATACTTGAAAAACAAAGGTAAATGTGAAAGTGTTTTTTTATACATACACACAAAAATAAAGTCGTCAGATACACGATTAGAATTGCACCTGGTGCAGCTGGAATAAATAGACAACTGCGGGGCCCTAATTCCTGCAAACTACAAAGCAAAGAAACATGAGGTAGGGTAAGTAACCGAATAGCCCATGAATCACCATAATTTTCGATAGTTCGCATCAGCTGGTTTATTTATACCACTTGGATTGTGAGATTTATTGGATTCCGTATTGCTTGAGGGAAAACAAGATGTAGAGTTGAACACTGGAAAAAGAAACCACGAATAATACAACAAAATGTTGCACAAAAATGTGCAACGCACAAACAAGATTCAATGAATTGAACAGAATGTTATATCTTTCAGATTGCAAAAGTGTAATTTGAGTGTAAAGATATTTCTTCAGTACATGGTTTAGCAAAATTGATTTTTCTCTTTTAGTTTGTATCCGCCAGAGCTGTCTATACTATAGCCCCATTCTGGTTGACTACAGTCTACAGTAGCAGACCTAAAAAAAAAACTAAAAAAAAGCCTTTCGTCCAGCTGCATTTCAGCTGAACTTCCACGTCAATGTATTAGAAATTAACAAATGGCATTAGAACTTCAATCATCTTCAACACTCTTTTCTGGTGAACCTTGAGGCTTGAGAGAATAAAGGCTGAAAAGAAACAACCCATTAATGAAAGGAAAAGAACTAAAATGCGGATCAATAATGGTAACTAAAATGGACCAAAAGATAAAAGTAATGATAAACAAAGAACAAGATCAAAATATTTGAATGAAAAAGCTTGAGTATATGACCAACCTGCATTTTTGAGGAACCCTCCAGGAAATAATTGACAATTTCTTCATACTTGGAGGTAAGGTCAAATAATATTTCCAATCTTGAAGCAAAACTCTAAGATCATGAAGTTTACTATCCATGCCGTAGCAACAATTTGCATGCATCGTGCAAACTTTATTTAAATCTCTACTTGGTTCACAAAGCCCGCCAAAATTGGCTGTATCTAAGAATTTCATCTTCAGTCCTAAATCGGTAATGAAAGGGTCAACCTTGATAAAATTGAGGACATCCTGATCATGGTATCCTGGATAGGTTGCTTGTGAAGAATACCAAAATTTGTAAAACTCAATTGACCTATTATTGGACCTTACAAAGTTGAATCCTCCGTTTGGTCTGTTCTCTATATCATCAAAGCTGCCCGTGAAATGATCACATGCTATCTGGAAATCTGCATCACTGTGAAACCGAGGAAATGGATCTCTAAACCACATGATATCAGCATCCTGGTAGATGACATAGTATCTAATTTAGATATTGTAGATCCAAGTCTTTCTCTCTAAAAAATATTATTTTTTTCTGAAAAGAAAATTACTGCATGACTAAACAATAAATAAATAATATAAGTGCAAAGCTATCAATTTGGCTGCAATGGAACTATTTACTGATACAGTTTATCCTAATCAGATGGATATAAAATTAGGTAATATAAATGATTAGCATAGTTCACAACTTTAGAAAGTATTCCATGTTTACATGATCTAGAGAATTATAGGTCAGTCCAAGTAAACATGAAAAACTTAGTGATTCAAATACTTACAGTGAACACAAAATTGTACCCCATCTCCAGAACAGAACGTAGGAAATCTATTCGTCTCCACATCATCTTCAAGTAGTGAGGAGTCATAAAGTATGCCTCTTCATGAAAATCAATCTCTTCACTAACAAGCAAATAGCAATGCGGGTGTATTTTCTGACAGCGCATAAATGCTTTCTGGTCTAAAGCAATAATTACTAGGTGATTCAAAAGTCTACGTGTCCGATCTCCAATTCTAAAGCTCTCAAGGAATAGATCAATGACAGAATTTGGTGCTGCCCATGCTTCATTTAATGTGGTCAAGATAACTGTTCCATCTTTCATAGCAGCCTCTTTAAGAATATTTTCGAGTGGATATTCATTGCTAACCTGCAAAAGAATCATTTCAAACAGAACAAAGAATGTGACTGCCTCTTCCACTGATAAATTGCACAAACAAACCACAATAATAATTAAAGTCATCAATTTGGGCTAAGCATATCATATTTTTGAAAAGGCATCAAGGATAATCCAATGCAACCTGATTTTTCCCACATATTTCACGGGGCTGACCCAACTTTTTAAGATTACCTTGCTTGTTGGGGTGGCCCAATTCAACATAAAGAACATGCCCCATGTTGACAGATCTACCAGAGGGATGGAGATGCCATCGGATATAAAAGAATCAAGGATATAAGCTAGGTAAAACGTACTTGTTTTCAGGCTTGCTAGCTCATTAAACTAAATTAAGAAATAAAGGAATTACTGTTTAAAGTTTAAACACAAACATGGTTGAATTCTCTATATTCATAATACCAAATAGTAACTAAATTATGGAAGCTCTGTTTCTGCTAGCAAGAGGGGCAATCAGTCCAGTCTGTCATAGTGACTGACAATTCAATATTAACATTTGATATGCTACAAGAAGTCAATATTTGAAATTCACCATTTCAAAATTAATGTATCTAAAAATAATTGAACAAGTAGTTAAAAAATGCTGAGTCTTAGATTTTCCAATGAGGAAATTAATATTTTTCTAAAGCAGCAGTCTGTCTTTAATTAGTCACCAAATTAATCATTCAGATATTTAAAATGTTACCATATCAATCCTTAAGGAAGACAGAAATGGTATCCAAAAAAATAAATATTTAAGGGAATAATTTGGCAACAAAATCTTTGGAGAACTAAAGTAATGACAACAAATCTTTGAATGATTAATTTGATGATCAATGTGGTGACGCATTTAGCTTTGTAAGACCAAACGGATAGTTTTCTGTATTTTTAAACAACCGTGCATCCATTTACATAACCATGCACATTGAACATTCGATAGTATTATAAAGTTTCTCCTCCATCCTCCACCTTCAACTACTCCAAGAAAAAAAAAATGAAATAGAACATGATTTCACCCTCTTCCGTTTCTCATCCAGCTTTCTCAAGTAAATACCCAAACACAGAAAAAAGGGACACAGCATTGTTCACAAAAAAACTTGAGATCATATCACATAAAAATTGTCCAGCAATCAAGTATTTTTCCAACTGACAAATGTCCGTTTATCCAATCCCAGCTCAAACAACTTCTCATCACACATAAATGATAAATCAAACAGAGAAATTCAACAACACAATTAATCAAGGTTTTAAATTACAGATGCAGTTTCGTCACAATCCTTGATTTTGCTAAAATAACTGCAGACACCATATAGGACGCATTTGTCTGCCATTCAACATCAAGAAACGTGTTTTAAAACCTTGATCACGTCCAAACACAAATACTTTCCAAATCACGGAGCATTCGAGTTTCCAACGAGTTAGATTCCATCAGTATTAAAAGCATGTTTGGATACAAATCCTAAACGCTAAAGGAAATAAATTAAATAGTATATTCCATCAGAGAAGCTCTCAGCGTTTCCAAGACTGTATCCAAACATGGTTTAAGTGAAGTCGCTGCGTCCCAAAAATTGAAGCATAGAATGAAAAACAAGGAAACAGAGAGAGAGAGGAAAGGGAACTGACAGCGAGGGAATCGTCGGAGAGAAGAAGAGTGGAAAAGCGAGATAAGGGATTGGAAGGAGCGAAGCGAGAGTAGTAGGCGTTTCTGAAGAGGAGGACGCATGAGAGAGAGAGGGCGAAGAAGAGGAGGGCGGCGCAGGGGCTCCGGCGGAGGTGGAGGACGGTGGATTCCGGCGACATGAGGGCGGAGAGGCTAGAGGCCGCATGGCGGTGGTATGCGCGTCGGCGGTGGAGTGGGAGTGTGTGGGGCATTCGGTGTCGGCGAGGAGGTCATTTCGTTGAACGACGTCGTATGGTGCGGTTAAAACTTAAAACTTCAAATGAATGAATCTGGATGGTGGTGGGGTTCAGTGTGTAGTGGAGGATGAGAACTTGAATTGCGTGGTGACGTAACTAAGTCTATAAGGGTAATAATAATAATAGCATAAGAATGGAAAGTGGGTGAGAATTTGTTGCCCAATACTTTGACTGAATCTCTCTCTCTCTCTCTCTCTCTTTCATACTTCATACTTCATGTTGTTCCACTACTTCATCACTACCTCACTTGTTAATTTGTTAACCCACTTATTTAATGATAATAAAACTCATTAACCCTATTTATTTATTTGTAAAGTAAAAGTAAAAAAAAAAAAAAACATTAGTTTAGTCCTTCGATATTTTGCTTGGTATTAAATCTTTTAAATTTTTGTGATATTCAGTAAATTTTTAAACATTAAAAGAAACAAACTGATTCCTTTTATTTTATTTTCAATATTTATTTATCAATCAAAATTAAAATAACGGTAAGAAGACTCAAATCTAGAACTTTGTCTTTACTATTCAACTTCTAATTTTGTTTTTAATATTACCAATCTTTGAAGAATGAAATTGATGTAATAATTCGAATAATATTATGTCACTAATTCAGTTATAGCGTAGCTATTAGACATTTAACATGGGTTTGGGTCATTGGGCTTTGATTAACATGGGCTTGGGCTGATATAAGTTCGGCAGACCTTTATTTTCGGGTGAGGTAAAATTAATATTATTCAAGTGATATAATTAAAATCTGAACCCAAATTAATCTCATTTATAATTTTTACATGAAATTGTGTTATAATAAGAAAAATTAATTCTAACATATTACCAAATAGGCACATATAGATGGTAAGTCTAAAATGAGTAAGAAAGTAAAGTAATTTAATGATTAATACGATGGAACATTTCATTTGTGAATCCTAGGTAACATTCAAATGGCCAAAGATAGGTCCAAATTAATCCTGTTTGGGACATTGGAAGAACTAGAACAGCCCATGCATTTGTTGCTAATCTCAGGGCACAATGAAAATGCCTCACTGGTCTCACTCACTGAAGAAGAACCATTACTTTTCTGAGAAGAAGGATGGGGTTGTGGCAATGAGATCGACAGTGACAACTCACAACCTCCTAGTCCTATGTCTTCATCATGTTCTCGTACTCTCCAAGTGTTCCCAACATCATTCAAAGCCTGTTTCTCATTTAATTTCTCAACCTGTCCAACATTATGTAGAAAAGTGAGATGGCAATTATTCTTTTCCTTTCAAAAAGTACCTCATGTGGACTTCATAACAAAATTGATTACAACATGTGATGACTATATATAGATGTACCTATCCTCAAAAGGAGCAGTGTCAAGGGAGCAAAGCAAATAGATTTTACAAAAATCATAATGCTAAAACCGAGGTTAATCTTTTATGATTTAAATTCTCAGCTAAACAAATATTCACATCATGATTTTTGAAAGCAACTAATAATAGCTTTTGATGAGGAGAACTCATCCTAGTTTTATACTCATCATCATTTTTTACCACCAAAACACAAAATCATGTTGCTTTGATTTGACATATTCACTAGGGAAACTAACATTTTACTAGTCTGTCTTTTTCATATTTTGCTTTTAGGGTGAAGAGAGTGATTAAGGGAAGTCCTATGTATTAGTGAGAAATTTTCATGTTCCATCTCAAGTGACACTGAAATAAAGTCCAAAACCAAATCACACTCCACCCTTGTTAAAAAAATCTAGTATAAACAGTAACAAGGACAAATGAAGTACAAAAAGAAAGTTAGATTGTGCAGGTATGAGAAGAGAACCTGGAGAAAATCTGATTCTTGCTTTGGGAGCATAGGAAAGGTTGTGGAAAGGGGTTGAGTCTGCCACATTGAAGCAACACAAATCTTCTTTATTACCTTCTGCTCAGCCATGCTCTGCAGGTAATCATAAAAAGTAGTGTATGGATTTGGAACTGCTTCACATATTCTTTGGCTGCATTGTAGGATTCCTGAGAGTAAACTTTGCTTCTCGATTCTAGCTCTGAGGAGAATCCAAACGTTAAGGATTATTTTTTTTCTTTGTTTATTTTAAAAGTAAAAGTTGCCACAGAAAAGCCAAAAATCAAGCAAAAACCGATAACTCTTTTGTTTTGTTACTTTCCCATGCTGCCACTTTTTACTCCTTTGAAAAGTTTTAAATTATTTCAACATGAAAGAGTTTAATAGGCACAAGGTAAAAGTTTTAACTATGTCAACCAAATTATACATAATTCTTGATGTGACTATGAGATAATAATTATAAAAAAAAGTTCAATTTTTATGTCTTAATAGTATAAAAAGTTTAGGTTATCATCAAATTAGAAAAATAATAAACTTAACTATTTGTAATTGAATAATAGCTTCATTAGATAAATGTATGAAGTATTTATTTTTATCAAAATTAAGAAACTTAAAATATATATTATAATAAAACTTTTGTTAATCCCTTGTTTTTTTTTTTAACTTCAATTTGATCTCTTAAAGTATCCTTGTTAGATAAATTGATTCTTTCATCAATTTATCACATTAATTTAGTGAATTAAATAACACATAACAAGATGTAAGTGTCATGTTATTTAAGTCAAGATTAATATTGAATCAAAAAATTGATGAAAGAAACAATTTATTTAATTAATAAAACATTTTAAGGAATTAAAGTTTAATTTTTTTATTCAAAAGTTTAAAATTTGTGATTAAATAATTATGTAAAAAAATTTAAACCGGTTGTGCATATATATTTATTAAAAATATTGTTAAGCTGACCTTTTTGAGGAGAAATTACTGCAGGTGGAGAGGGAATCAGATTCTTTTCCAATGGATTTTAAGCAAGAGTGAAAACCAACATCACTCACTTCATCAACACATCCATCATCATGCTCCTGAAAAGATTGTTTTCTATGTTGGGTGGAAGTCCTATCAGCTGTCACAGATAAACCAGCACAACACAAAGGAGAAAATTAAAGTAGAATGTTTGGTGAAAACAATCAAAAGCTTATTCATGGGCTCCAATGCATTAACAACAACAGGGCTTGGATTTGTACACAGGTCATTTAATGAACCCATCTTAAATGTTGAAAGCAGAAAAGTTGTGGGTTTCATCAAAATACTGCTATTATAAGAAGATGGTAAAAGCACATTGGTTTATCATTCTCCCTTGTCTATTCTGGCATCAACTATACATTCAAAAGGGACTAATAAATGAGCAATGCAGTTGCCAATTTCCTAAACTCATGCATGGAGACCAACTTTTAGCTTCGATTTTGAACTGCAACCGATAACCAATAAGGGAAACAACGATTTAGTGAGTCTGCATGCCTTCAATGCAGAAAGCATCAATTCTACATTATTCAATGTACGATATGCAGGGTGGATAAACGACCATGAATTTTCACCCTGTTCAGTGTTGACCAATAAATGATACAACCAATATTAAATATATTTATTTTATAAAATTAATAATTTTATCATTAAAATTAAGCAGAAGCAGATGTATAACATTATCTCAGTTTGCTGAGCTCACTAGAAAGTCACCATGTATATAGATACTTTACCATTAATTTTAAAAAAATGCATTACCTTCCTCTTTAAATATACTAAAAAATGGGAAAAGAGAAATTCTATTGATTTGAGTTCCCTCTCTTTTTTTTTTTTTTTTCCTTTTTTACAGTTAACCATAAAAAGGAAACCCAGGGGCACAGTACTGTTAAAATATTAGGTGTAAGAAAAGCATTTTTGAATAATTTATTATAAAGTGAAAGATGAAGAACTTATCCCACTTTAAAATTAAGAATTGAAACTTAAGGTGCATGTGTTAGTGTTAAAATAAAGTTTAATGAATGAGTAAGTCAAATGATACTGGAAGATATAGTTTTAATGCGATCTGAAGAGAGTAATTTTTATATTAAAAAAAACGTAAAATATTTGCACACCTTATATTTTTATATCATATATATTATTCCACTTCCTTTTATAGGAAAAAAGTGGGAAAGAGATTTTTCTATTATTTTGATGAGTTCTCTCTGTCCTTGTTTTTCTTTTCCTCTTTACTGATATCCATAAAAAGGAAAAGTTTGGGCCTACAAAAGAGAAATGTTGTGGAGGCAATTTCTACCATTCTCTATTTAAGTAAAATTTATGTAATATTTTTTAAATATATAGGTCTTTTTCCGTTGAGTCTCATTTTAAAATTAGTAAAACCATATAAATTTCGATCATTAAAATAGTGTATTAGGGAAAAAAGTGCAAAGAGTTTATGGGGCTTAACATAAAAATAAAAGATGTCAAAAAAATCATGTTAATTTGAATAATGAATCATTCAGATATTAACATAAAACTTATATTAGTCTAGTGATAGAATGAAAAGAGATTGGATAATTAGAAGTACAAGGATCTAGTTTTAATTTTCATATTTATAATTTTTTATTTAAAAAAAATATACATTTAAAACTGTAGATTAATAGTGTGACTTTAGCATATGCAGATGAGGGTATTGAAGAGGCGTGAGAAGATCAATGAAACTAAAGCTACTTGTTGTACACGTGTTCAGCAATAAAGAAGGTCAAATTAACAACGTTTGGTACCTTGTTTGCAGGAGTCACCTTTCATGCTTCTGTACATCTGTTTATGAAAAAGTGAAACACCCAATAAGGATAACCCCAAATAAAAGAGTTGCTAGCTGTGAACATAAGGTTACTTTCACCAAGAAGAGTGAAATAATCAATGTGTATAATTTTGTTAGCAGATTTAATACCAACCTGCAAATGGCTTTTGACGTGTGAAATTGTTAGCCCTTTAACATCCATCAATTGAAGAACAAGCTTAGGAGTAGCCTCTACACATATGGAGGAAAAAAAGGCACAAATAAATCCAGATTTTCCATGAGAATATCACTATAATAGTGATAGTAATATAAAACAAATCAAGAGTAATTAAGAAAAATATTGGATAAACACTTATTCTCACTTTCATTTCTTTTTCTACCTCATCTATCACTTTTTTTTTTTATTCCATTACATCTTATATCTATCGATTTCTTTTTCTCTTTCTATTCCTTCCCTCCACCCCCCATATACCCCATTAAGTTTAAAGAAAAAAGACTATACAAAAACGAAGTAAATGACACTGTTCTCCAAGCACAAATCATTATTTATTGTAAATTTGTTGACTAAGTAATATGAAATGGTGATTTTGATTAATTGATAATGTAAAAAGATTTGTATAAATAGTGTATCTTTATTAAACCTTTAAAAGTTTATCAAGTTAAAAAAAAAAAAAAAAAAAAAAAA